CGAGTCGCACGAGCCTCAATGCACTTGGTACCGCTCTCCAAGACTTCAACCCAAAGGAATACACCCTTCCTTCGTACAACCAAGGGAACAAACCTCCCTTAAAGTGCTTACAACACTTAACCACTCAAGAACAAAAACTCTTTCAAAGAGTAGAATATGAGTAAACTAATTTAGATCAAGAACACACTCAATTCTTCAAGAAATGGCTCTAAAAAGCTTTGTAAAAAGTTTATGGAATGATGCAATGTAAAGCTATGAAATGTGTGAGGAATAATTGTGAAAAGTAGACCCAAAAGACCTCTATTTATACCCAAAAATGATGTGCAATGGATGGGAGTTGATTGGGGTTTATTGGAATGATTTGTGGAAATCAAATCAAAGTTGGTCTACAGAATTTTGGCCTAGCATCAATATTCATATAGTGAACATCGCTCTTTTGGCTTTGATTTTTTTTTGGAAATGGCTAACAGTCATCAAACATCGATATTTTGAAGGCTACATCGATGTTGGAGTGATTGACTTTAAAAAATGGAAAGATTTTGTCTTAAATACCCCAACGGTCATTTGAAAACATCGATGTTCATCGATGTTCAAAAACCTACTGCCAAAAATTGACATAAGCAGACTTGGCTAAAATATGGATGTTCAAAATACAACATCGTTGTTTTGAAACCTACTGCCATTGTACAACATCGTTGTTTGGAAAGCCAACATCGCTGTTTTGGTTTGGACGCTAGAACCATGGTTTGGCAGCCAACGCTGAAAACCTATGTTAAAAATACAAGTTTCCCAAATTAAAAACCAAATGTTGGAAACAGTTATATAACGAATTTTAGGTAGAAACCAAGTATAAAAACTTAAAAACCACGTCGTTAAGGTAAAAAACACGTCTAACCAAGTCTAAGCCATTTTACGTGGTTTTCGCCAAACGACCAAAACCGAAAGGTGGTGTTTAACATGTTTTTGTTGGGGAACTACTTAGATATGCCTAGAAGTAAAAAAACATAAAATCTTAAAAACCACTTGGTTGATTCAGACACCAAAAACCAACGCGATAACCAGCACCGAATGCCAATAACCAACGACAAAAATTAAAGGTTATGGTTTTTGAAAAATAATCATTTGGAAAACCTTTAAATGTGTCCAGAAGCAAATGTTAGAATAATAGACCAGTGCTAGAGGGGGGTGAATAGCGTTTGATCAAGAAATCGCAGGAATAAAAAAAACTTTAAAAAAGAAGTAAAAGATAAGAGTAAGAGGCAAACCGAATTTACCCATGTTCACCACAACTTGTGGCTAATCCAGCCTCCCGAGAGACTCTCTCGAGCTACACTACTATCTTGTTAAGCTTAACGGTGCTTAACAAACCCTTACAACTTGAGAATTCGAGTCACACGAACCTCAACGAATCCTTCGAAGGAAACAACCCTTCCTTCGAATCAAACGTGAGAAATACTTTCTCTCAACGTGTCTTAGAACACAAATGCACTCAAGAACGAGACTCTCTTTTAGAGTAGATATTGAGTAAACTGAGTACGCTCAAGAACAACTAAAACTTCACACGAATTGGCTCTAAAAAGCTATGAAAATTGATGTTGGTTGAATGCAACGAATGTATGAGAATTGTGAGGTGAATTAATTAGTAAAGAAGACCCAAACATCCCTTTTTATAGTGCCAAAATAGGCTCCAACGGATCAAGGCATTAAAGGGGTGATTGGCTTGATTTATGGGATTGATTAAAATGTGGATCTGCAGGATATTGACTTTCCCTGCGATGTATGGACTTACCCATCGCTGGTAGGCCAATTTTCCTTCAGTTTTGAAGCCAACGGTCACCTACCCATCGATGGGTAAATGCTTCCCATCGCTGGTTGGGAGGTTGACTTTCAAACAAGGAAAGAATCAGCCTTAAATGACTCACAACGGTCATGCCTAACCAGCGATGGATATGCCCTCCCATCGCTGGGTTCCCATCGATGGGTAAAGGTTCCCATCGCTGGAAAAGGACATTCTGCCTTGTGATAATGTTGGAACAAGGCTTGAACAGCGATGGGTAGAGCTTCCCATCGCTGTTTGGCATGGTTCTAGAATTTAGTTGGGTTGAAGGCTGCTCACCCATCGATGGGTAATATCTCCCATCGCTGGGTGGCATGATTCTAGAATCCCGGGATCACTTACCCATAGATGGGTGATATCTACCATCGCTGGGTAGATGGCTAGTCTAGAACCATGGCCTAGCTGACTGTCGCTGAAACCCGGCCGAAAAATGCAAAGTTCTCCAAAGTTAAAACTAAGTATTTAAAACACTTATTTAATGCATTGTGATGTCAAAACAAGATTTGTAGGTTGAAAACCACATCGTTAAGGTAAGAACCACGGTTGACCAAGTCAACGCCATACACGGGTGGTTTTTACCAAAAGACAAAACCGAAAGGTGGTTTTCATGATGTTTTGATTGGAGAACCATTTAAATGCATTCAAAAACAATTCCCACACAAAAAGACTCGAAAACCACTTCATTTAAGTAAAAACCACAGTTAGCCAATTTTATGCCGTTTCGCATGGTTTTTATCAAACGACAAAAAACTAAAGGTGGTTTTTGAAGTGTTTTTGATGGAACACTATTTAAATGTGCCCAGAAGTAAAAACCAATCATAAAAGGTTGAAAACCACTTGGTTGGTTTGGACGCCAGAAACCAACGCCGATAACTGAATGCCGAACGCCGGTTTCTGAAAACCGAATGTCAGTTTCTGAAAACCAAATGCCGGTTTCTGAAAGCCAAACACCAGATGGCTTGGTTTTTGGTTTGGGCAAACACCAAGTGTTTTTAATGTGTTTAAACATGCTTGGAAATCATTTTTATGATATGAGAAATGCAATAAAAGGTTTTAGCCTAAAGAGCCAAAGTGTAAGGCTTGGGACAGTCTTGATCACATTTGTGACCGACTCAACGGCACTAAAACTACAGTCTTTGTTCTTGGTCCCTTTTAGATCTTGTTCTCATCTTCATTTTTCGCCTTGTATATTCAAAACTTTGTCTCGTTCACGGCGGTTTGGCATTATCAAAACCTGTCATAAAAACGAACACAGCTTTAGTACGAAAACGTGATAAACCCGTGTTTCAAAAACGTGATAAACGTGATAAACCCGTGTTTCAACACTTTGTCTTGTTCTCATCTTCAATTTCCCCCTTTTTGATAATGGCAAACAAGACAGGGTTATGCATAGGAGCATTCATTTGAGACTAAAAAATGTTCCCCCTTAATAAATGCAATTTTCTTTTCAACAAAGTTTATGTGTTGAATAAGAGTTAGTTTTAGAAAAAGTTCCTCCTCAATCTATGCATAACCTTTATATCTTCCCCCTTTTGACATTAGCAAAAAGAATTGAAAGTAAACTTTTATTCATTAAAAGGGAAATGCGGAATACAACGGATAAAAATACAATCATATTTAATAAGGAGAGAATAAAGAAGAGGTCGTGGCGTCAGTGTTGGCCTTCTTCTTTGAAGCCTCGGTTTTGGTCCTCGACTTTCCTTTGGCCATTGTTGAAGCGTTTAGAAAGTGAGTAGAGGCTTAAAGTTTGCAAAAGGAATGTAAATTGTGTGTTAAAAATGACCAAGGATGGTTAATATTTATAGGAAAAGAGAATTTGGGCCCTTGGTGTTCAAAAATATAGTTGTTGGGCATTGAATGAGGTGCCCAATGGCTATGATTTTTGAACTGCAACAGGCTTCCCAGCGATGGTAAGGTTCTCCCATCGATGGGAAGACAACTACTGGAAAGGGAGGAAAAAGTGAAGGCAGCCTTCCTAGCGATGGTAAGGTTCTCCCATTGATGGGAAGGCAGGTACTCGAAATCAGTTAAAAAAATTTTAAAAAATAAGTGTCAAACACCCAGCGATGGGAAGAAGTTCCCATCGATGGGAAGAAGTTCCCATCGATGGGAAGAAGTTCCCATCGATGGGAAGAGGGCTGCTAGTTAGAAAATACTTCTTTCCTAGCGATGGGATAAACCACCCATCGCTGGTTCCCCCTGAGTTCCTCACTTTGATACGTACCTGCAAAAAAAGCAATACTTTGGTACCCAAAGTGTGTCTATGGGTCCTTGGGGGTTAGTTAACCTTTATTGCCACACACCCAAAATTCGTTTCCTTACGCGCCCACACACACACACGATTAGATGATCGTTTAGGAGTTACCTTGGCCAACCCATCGTCTCGTGGTTGGCGGGTTCTAGTCTACCTGAACAAGTTGCCGATATCTCGGTGTGATTTGTGTTGGTTCCGGTAACAGAATGTGGACTTTCTTCTTTTCGTCAAAGTAGAAGAAATAGTAAGGTTTCTTTTGTGCATTATCTTGTGGAGATTGTTTATGATACAAATATCCTTTTCCAAAGGATTTCTTTTCGTTAGCACCAAATATGTTGTGTGTTTGATTATAGGTGAAATGCCTATGTCTGGTAAAACACTCAGAAGCTATATGTCCTACCCTATTGCAATAATGGCATACTACGTTTGGGTTGAGCATATGCCTAGGTTGGTAATAGCTAGGGGGTCTAACCATATTCATCCTACTTTGAGAAAATATTGGTTTTTGGGTATTTTGAAACTTCTCTCTTCTAGGGGTTCTAGCATTATTTTGTCTATTTGAAAAATTATTTTTGTGCATAAACTCATTTTGATAATTCCTCCTAGGTTGCCTAGAATGCTCGTGTTCATAACTAACCTTTTGTCTAGGTTGTCTATTATTTTTAATTTTATCTTCCTTAGGTTGAGCTCTAGGTGGTTTACGTTTGTGCTCAACTTTTTCTTTATTTTCATCAATATTTCCAAAACCTATTCCTTCTTTAGTAAATTGCATAGAATCAAAAACAATATTAAGGTTCTTATGTGGTTTATTAAATTTCTTTACCGTGTTTTCTAGTTTAGCAACTTGTTCTTTCAAAGCTATGCAAGAAGTCACAATTTTTCGTAGAGCTCTCGGGTTTGTCGGCGCTTCTTTTACCATAAAATTTATTTTCCTCTTTTAGTTTTTCATTTTCCTTTTGAAGTTTTTCAAGTTCAGTTTCAAGATTGGAAAAATGTTTCTTTAAAACTTTGTTGGTTTTAGAAGAGCTAACAAACTCGTCATAAAGCTCTTGGAGAGCTTCTTGCATTTCTTCAGAAGAATAAGAAATGGTAGAAGAAATACATGCCTCTTGGTTTTCGTCGTTGGCGGACTCCTCTTCTTCTTGGGCTATGAGACAAAGATTTGCTTCTTCGTCTTCCTCTTGCTCACTTGACTCATCGCCGGAGTCGCCACCCCAAGAGATGTATGCTCTTTGCTTTTTGAAGTGACAAGCATTCCTTCCGCTTCTTGGACATTTGTTCGAAATGTGCCCGGCTTCACCACATCCATAGCACACACGGCCATCCTCAACCTTTTTTTCTTCCTTAGAAGTTTGCAAAACTTCTTCATGACAAGCTTGACTTCATCTTAGTCGCTTGAGTCATTCATCGTCGGTTCTTTAAAGGCTCTTAATGCTATGCCTTTCCTTTGATCATTCAAAGATGGGTTAAGTATAGTAGATTCATACGTTTTTAAATTACCTCTTAAACCGTCGATGATGACATTTGATGTGCCGATTGACTCATAGATGGCATCGGCCTTAGATCGCCATTCGGATGTCAAGCTCCGTAGGATCTTTCGTACAAGATCCCTATCGGTGTAAGTCTTCTTCAATGCATGAAGATCGTTGACTATCTTGGAAAATCGGTCGAACATGTCGTCAATCTTCTTGTGCTCCTTCATTCTAAACATCTCATACTCTTGGGTGAAGAAGTCGATCTTGGCTTCACGTACTTGGTCCGTTCCTTCGTACGTCACCTCGAGCTTATCCCACATCTCCTTAGCGGTTGAGCTGCATGAGATCTTGCGGTAGTCGTCGGGGTTGACTGCATAGTAGAGCATGTTAATCGCCTTTGCATAGTTCTCTACTTTCTTGATGTCTTTGACATCAAATTCGTCTTCGGTCTTGGGGATCAACTTGTCTCCGACTTTCTTCATTGGCACCTCTTCCCCGTTTTTGATAACCAACCATAATTGGAAGTTCGTGGAACGAATATAGATTCTCATTCGTTCTTTCCAATATGTATAATTGGTTCCATCAAAAAGAGGTGACCGTGTGGTTGATTGCCCTTCACCTATTCCTCCATACAAATTTCAAGGAGAAGAACCCATGATCGCTTTTCTCTCAAACGGTTAAGTTTGGACGCGAGTTAGGCTCTGATACCAATTGTTAGAATAAATGACTAATGCTAGAGGGGGGTGAATAGCGTTTGATTGTAGAAATCGCATGAATAAAAAATTAAGAACGTGAAACGTAAAGAGCGTAGAAAGCGTAAAGGGAGCACACCAAGATTTATACTCGTTCACCACAACGTGTGGCTAATCCAGTCTCCTGAGAGACTCTCTCGAGTTACGGGTGCTTAACAAACCGTTACAACTTGAGAACTCGCGTCCCACAAGCCTCAACAACACTTGCTCGGAGATACCGCACTCCAAGACTTCAATCCGAAAGAAAATACCTTTCCTTCGTACGACCAAGGGAATCAAGCTTCCCTTAACGTGTATACAACACTAAACACTCAAGAACAAGACTCTCTTTAAGAGTAGATGATGAGTAAACTAAGTACGCTCAAGAACAACTCAAACTTCACACAAATTGGCTCTAGAAAGCTATGGAAAATGATGTTGTTTGAATGCAATGATAATAAGAATATTGTGAAGTGAATTGGTTAGTAAAGAAGACCCAAACATCCCTTTTTATAGTGCCAAAATACGCTCCAACGGATCAAGGCATTAAAGGGGTGATTGGCTTGATTTATGGGATTGATTAAAATGTGGATCTGCAGGATATTGGCTTTCCCTGCGATGTATGGACTTACCCATCGCTGGAAGGCCAATTTTCCTTCAGTTTTGAAGCCAACGGTCACCTACCCATTGATGGGTAAATGCTTCCATCGCTGGTTGGGAGGTTGACTTTCAAACAAGGAAAGAATCAGCCTTAAATGACTCACAACGGTCATGCCTAACCAGCGATGGATATGCCCTCCCATCGATGGGTAAAGGTTCCCATCGCTGGGAAAGGGCATTCTGCCTTGTAATAATGTTGGACCAAGGCTTGAACAGCGATGGGTAGAGCTTCCCATCGCTGTTTGGCATGGTTCTAGAATTCAGTTGGGTTGAAGGCTGCTCACCCATCGATGGGTAATATCTCCCATCGCTGGGTGGCATGATTCTGGAATCCCAGGATCACTTACCCATGAATGGGTGATATCTACCATCGCTGGGTAGATGGCTAGTCTAGAACCATGGCCTAGCTGACTGTCGCTGAAATCCGGCCGAAAAATGCAAAGTTCTCCAAAGTAAAAACTAAGTATTTAAAACACTTATTTAATGTATTGTGATGTCAAAACAATCTTTGTAAGTTGAAAACCACGTCGTTAAGGTAAGAACCACGGTTGACCAAGTCAACGCCATACATGAGTGGTTTTTACCAAAAGACAAAACCAAAAGGTGGTTTTCATGATGTTTTGATTGGAGAACCATTTAAATGCATTCAAAAACAATTCCCACACAAAAAGACTCGAAAACCACTTCATTTAAGTAAAAACCACGGTTAGCCAATTTTATGTCGTTTCACATGGTTTTTATCAAACGACAAAAACGAAAGGTGGTTTATGAAGTGTTTTTGATGGAACACTATTTAAATGTGACCAGAAGTAAAAACCAATCATAAAAGGTTGAAAACCACTTGGTTGGTTTGGACGCCAAAAACCAACGCCGATAACCGAATGCCGAACGCCGGTTTCTGAAAACCGAATGTCGGTTTCTGAAAACCGAATGCCGGTTTCTGAAAGCCGAACGCCGGATGGATTGGTTTTTGGTTTGGTCAAACACCAAGTGTTTTTAATGTGTTTAAACATGCTTGGAAATCATTTTTATGATATGAGAAATGCAATAAAAGGTTTTAGCCTAAAGGGCCAAAGTGTAAGGCTTGGGACGGTCTTGATCACATTTGTGACCACTCAACGGCACTAAAACTACCGTCTTCGTTCTTGGTCTCTTTTAGCTCTTGTTCTCATCTTCATTTCTCGCCTTGTCTATTCAACACTTTGTCTCGTTCACGGCGGTTTGACATTATCAAAACCTGTCATAAAAACGAACACGACTTTAGTACGAAAACGTGATAAACCCGTGTTTCAACAGCCAAAACCAAACATAAAAACCCAAAAATCATTTGGCTAAAATCGATGCCAATGACCAATGCCAAAAACCGAACGCCGATAGTCGATGGTTATGGTTTTGGTTGGGCAAGGACCATGGGATTTTGGAAACTTAAAACCATTTGTGAAAACACTAGTTTGATGCATGAAAATTATTTTGTTTTTGATCCATAACTTAGAGAAATTGAATACGCTTGTTACAACGAAACCTAAGTCTTTAGACAACGTCTTCAAAACGCCAATGTCGTCGTCTTTAGAAACGTCAATGTCTTTCTTGTGCTTTTTGTTCCTTCAAACAACTTTTGCTATGCCTTTGAGTCTTTTTCATTTTGTTCCGTGTTCCCGACGGTTTCTCAATATCAAAACCTAAACGGAAACAAGCATTGTTATTAACAAAACATCAATGTGAAACTGCTTTCTAACCGTCACACCATGATTAAGGTAATTATCACACCTTAATTATGCAAACACTCTTGAATCTTCTAGGCTACTCTAGGCTAATACCATTCTTGTATGAATAATCCCTTGTATACACATACTAAATTCATTCAGAAATAGAAAATAATTTATTCTTTCAAGGACAGAGGGAGTATAATATTTTCAAAATATTATTTTATCTAATTTGTTGGGGTCTTTTAGAAACAGCGCGCCTCTCTACTTTTAGTAAGAGTAAAGTTTGCGTACACACGTGCTTCTCTGACCCTGCTTATGTAGGATTCTACTATTTTATCTACGAGTAATAAATATATCATGTAATTTTTATTTAATTATATGTCAAAGATTGATTCTGATTATTTATAGGGCCGGCCCCGAAAATTGAAAAAATAAAATTGGTCCGGTCCTAAATTTACATTTTGGGCCCTATTTTATTTTTTTGAAAGCTTTTACTTTAAAATTATTAAAAAATTTAAAAATATGGGCCCTAAAATTTTGGGGGCCCTGTGCGGTTGGCCACTTTGTACACCCTCCGGGCCACCTATGTGGGCGTGATTAACTATAATAAATCAAAACTAGACAAATACTTTGAAACATATGAAATATCAAACATGTTATAAATTTAGCAACTGAGGGAAGTTGTGGTCTTAGATCCATAGGAGGGGTGATTGGCTATGAAAACCATGACGGGAAGGTGAGAAATGAGATGCTAATACTGTCCACAAAAGGGCTGACTTATACAAGAAGTTTTTTTGTGTGGGGGTGTAAAATGTAAATGAGAAATTTATCTAATTAGTACTAAAACATAGTGACTTTTTCAATGTAGTACCACCGGTCATTGTTCAAGTAAATATCTACCGCCACTGGACATTGTTCAAGTAAATATCTACCGCCACTGGACATTGTTCAAACTAAATGTCCACCATCACTGGACCGTGTTTTCATCACTAGACATTATTCAAGTACTATTTAAGAAATAAAAAAATTTAATTTGCTACATTGGAAAATGACATATGTTTTAGTATTATTTAGTGCAAGTCTCACAATGTAAATATAGCATTTAGAGTCCAAGGCGCCTATGAACAAATCAAAGCACAAAACAAGAGTGACAAGAACTCACTAATCACGGACAAGGCAACAACTTAGTAGGCAGAAAGGAAAAGAAAAATAATTTTCTCTTATTTTCTTCACAAAACTGAAGGAAAACAGTTTTCCTTTTCTTTTCTTCATTTGTTCTTCTTTTTTTCTTTCCCTTCTTTTTTTAACCAAATAAGAAAATTTGTTTTCCATCTCATTATCTTTTTTTTCCTTCAAATTCTTTTAACCAAACATAGTGTACAAGCAAAATGGGAATGACAAAAGAAATCTACATATAACTATATAAGCACATAAAAGTGTGAGAAGTTCACACTTCACATGTGAACCTTAGGAACACAAAAGCACAATTCACCGCAGAAAAGAAGAAAATGAATGAGGAAATGCACATTTCCTCCAATCCTCCATGACAATTGACAATATGACATGGAATCGGTTGATTTAATTCTAAGAAAAAATATTCTTCAATCATATAATCCATTGTTTGGTAGGAAAATATTTTCCTTCCGCTAATCTCACCAAACACATGAAAAAGGAATCATTTTTTTTTGAAAAATATTTTACGTCGAACCAAACACACCATAGGATTTAACTTTTTTGAATGTCTAAAAATCAATTCTATACTTCGGCCACCTTTTTTTCATTTTGGAATACATATGTTGACATCTTTAAAATAACTTAAAGACAAACTCATTTTTTAAAATAAAGTTAATTATTTTTTTATTTTAAATAATCAAGCATAATTCTATTCTTTTCCAATTTTTAAATTAAAATGATTGTATAGTATAAATATTTAATACAAAAAAATTATATGACTCACATGATAAATAATATTTTTTTAAGTCTTTTTAATTTAAAAATATGTGGAGATTTGTGTGTTGGGCCCGACGTGGAGAAGAGAAGTGGAAAAGTCCTCCCCTGCGGTTAGGGGTGAACACGTACAGAACTGATACCGAAATTTCCCGAAAAACCCGAGATTACCGAACCAATAAAATACCGAAAAAGAATCGTACCATACCAAACCGAATGATCGGTCCGGTATTTGGGATCGGTACGAGGTAACTTCCCATACCGAAAAATCCTGAACCGAACATATATACAAATACGTTCTAAAAATAACAATGTTTTTATATTTCTTCATTCAAAAATAAATTGATTTTGAAAAGTTGGTTCAAGTGTAGATGAATCACAAATAATCTTTTATTTATATAATCATTTATTTGAATTTTATTTTTTGTAGATTTATATAACAAATATTTGAAATATTATTTTCTTATCATTCATTCTCTTTTGTTTGTAAAATATGAAGTATAAATCAAACTAAGTTTTATAAGTATTTTTGCATTTAATTATTCATTTTCCAATTGTTTATCTTACTTTTATTTGAATGTACTTTCAATTTTTTTTAAATAAAAAGTTTTGTACATTCCAAAGTATGAACTACGTAAGTATATATATTCGTCCCAATATTTACCGAAACCGAAACATCCCGAACCATACCGAACTGATATTTCGGGATCGGGATTGGTACGATGTAAAATCCCATACCAAACCGATATATTTGGTACGGTATCGGTACAGACTAAATAACGTACCATACCGTACCACGCTCACCCCTACCTGCGGTCGTTTCCCTATTTCTGATTCTGTGAATAAGCATTGATTCCCCACAAAAAATTTGGATCGTGATACTGTTCATTTTCTTCGCTGTCATTTTACATTGGAAAATAAATATTTTTAGGATGTATGAGAAATACTGTAGAACCGAATTGTACGGTGTATATTGTCACATGAACATAGGACTTCCCTTTGAATCGAGGAAAAAATTTGGATCGTGCTAGTGTTCATTTTCTTCACCATGATTTTACATTGGAAAATGAATATTCATGCAAATGTATGGGAAAAATACCGTACAACCGAGTTGTACGGTAGATATTGTCACCTGCACATAGGAGTATAGGACTTCCCTTTGAATCGAGATAAATTCTATGGTGGGCCTAAAATCCATCATGGAACAGAGCAAAATAAGCATTTCCTTACTCTTTAAATAAAGATCCATTTTTTTATGAAAAAAATTAAAAAACGCAATTGGTCAAGGTCTCTATTCCAATGCAATTGGCTAGCATGAGATGGTTTTCCTGGTGAGAAATGCTTGGTTCACAAACACAATGGTCACAAACTTCACAAACTTACTATTTGTGAACTTCAATAAAAAAATTAAGTAATCTAAAATAGTTTTAAATAGGGGTGGACACGGTATTGGTACGGTACCGTGACCGGCAACGGTACCCCGGTACCGACCACCGTCACCGCCGGCCGGGACGGACCACCGGTTCCGGGAACCGGTACCGGTACCAAAAATTTCGTACTGGAACCGCCGGTACCGCTACCGGTTCTGGTACCCAGTTTTAGATTTTTTTTCTTTTTCCTCTTGCAACGGCAACCTGCCNATAAATACCCTCTTTTTTCCCCTAAAAAACCACACTCAATCCATCTCTCAATCTATCAATCTATCAATCTCTCAAATCTCAATCTCTCAATCTTATATTCTTATTATCTCTTTTTAATTTTATATAATATATATTTATATAATAATATAAATAATTAAATATATATTAATATATTACATAATAGCCTATAAATACATTCATTATTCATATTATCAATTATCATATATTTTAAGTTTATTACGAATATTATAATTTCGAAATTTTCGAAATTTAATATATAATTAATTTGTTAAATATATTCTTTAAATAATTTAAATATATAATTATTTTTTAAATATATTATATTTTTTAAAACATTTATAATTTTCGAATTTTTTTAAATTTTTAATATATAAAATTTCAAATTTTTTTTAATATCAAAAAATATATATATGAAAATGTCGAGAGAGTCCGGTAGAAGGTCCGTGAATATGGGCTCCGTGAACCGAAGTTTGAGGAAAGGCAAAGCTAAAGCCACCTCCGACGGTTCGACCTCACGCGGTTCTCGAGGAAGACACTCCGTCTCTTCCTTTCCTACTATCCCCGATCAATTCATCAGGGACGGTATGACGGATGAAGAATTTGACCAGATTTATTCTGGTAGAGGGGACGCGAATCTCCCCACTCTTGATAGTCTATTCGAGGATGTTGATGAAGCAGGACTGGATAATCTGGACGGGGACGAGGAGCCTACACCGCACAACAACGACGTCGACGTGGAGGCAGGTGAGCCCGAGACCTGTCGAGGTCCGGACAAAGATAAAAAAAATTAAAATCAAATTTATTTGTTTATCATTTTGAAAAAGAAACAAAAGATGGCATAGTTTATGGAACTTGTAAGTATTGTGGGGCCGTCATTAAAATGAGAGTTTCCGGCGGTTATGGCGGTACTGTACCAGAAGAAACAACACCTCCTCCGCCCCCCAAATCAAAAAAAGATTTTAAAGGAATAGTCGGTGGGCTTCTTGCAAAGAAAGGGAAGCGTGCTCAGCCTTCGACGAGTTCAAGTGGTACAACAGTAAGCTCGCACAACAAACTTGCTATGTACCAAGGGGTGCCATGCGATTACGACGAGGACGACGTGGAGTTTGACGTCCTCGGATGGTGGAAGCGGAACAAACACATGTTCCCATGTCTTGGAAAGTTAGCAAGACAAGTGTTGTCCGTCCTGGTATCAACCGTAGCTGTGGAACGAGAATTCAGTGCTGGCGGCAACATTCTAACCGACTTTCAAAGTTGTCTTAACGCTGAATCTCTTGAAACACTTGTTTGCAACCAAGATTGACTCTTGGCAAGACGTCGAGCTCAAGAGTCAGGGTACGAATTCAATTCGAAGCATTACATGAATGCAACCACAGATGGAAGTCCGAGTTCTGAGGAATAAGTTATAAACTTTTTTTTATGTTAATGTAAATATGTAATTAGTTTTTTCAGGTGAGCAATATATAAGCTCCTTCAAGGGTTTCTTTACGGTTCTTTACCTCGTCGCTTTTTTTGAACTGTCAGGATATTAATGTAGTTGTTCTTATTCTTCAGTTCGTGTATTACTCATTTTACAATATTTAAATAACTACATTTTTAGATTTTTTATTTCATTCTTTCCTTTAACAATTGCAAATTTATAATTTTACACTTCAAAAATTTTTAAAAAAAGCAAAAAAAAAAAATTGGTGGTGGCCGAAACTGGTCAGTCCGGTACCGGAACCGCCTGGGAACCAGAACCGGTACCGGCCGGTCCGGTCATGGTGCCGGTACCATGGGGTGGCGGTACCGGAACCAGCGGTTCCTGAACCGGAACCGTCCCGGAACCGTACCGTGTCCACCCCTAGTTTTAAAATGAGAATTTAAAGTAGGGTCTGGGGAGGGTGTGTGTACGCAGACCTTGCCCCTACTCGAAACTAGAGAGGCTGTTTCCAAAGAGACCCTCGGCTCAACGTCGAAAGTTGCATTGCTTGACTAACTGCTACTTCATTAATTAAAGAAGCGCAGACAGTTTAGAGATCCATTTTGATTTATTCCATCACACCCCAAAGCCAAAAAATGGTGAAATTTTGGCTCCATCGGAGATGATGGAAATTGAGAATTTAAATAATAAATAGTAAATTTGTGAAGTGTGTGACCATTCTGTTTGTGAATCTAGTATTGCTCTTTCCTTGTTGGGGCATTTCCTCGAACACTTTGCGTGCACTGCTTGATTTCAACGTTGGCAACTCCAATAAAACCGTCCGTAATGCCTGGGAGACTTTTATAATGGTCTCTCTACGCAAGAGAGTCCATATTGGAAGGGAGATGTCAAGAAACCGACTCAACCAAAAGCTCAAACTTGTGGCTGTGGCCCATGAAAGGTTTTTTTATATTCTAACATACCCCCTCCACGTGCAGGCGTATTTTTTTAGCCTTGCAAGGGAAACTTTAAAACTTATGAGACTAACTCGTAACCTTTTAGTCAACAAGGCTCTGATACCATGTCAAGGAACGAACTCAACCAAAAGCTCGAGCTTGTGGTTGTGGCTCAAGAAAGATATTTTATATTCTAACACGAGAGGAGTCAAGGGCTAGGAATGTAAACTTGACGACTGAAACCGGCGGCAGCACAGAGGACATTTCACCCAAGATGAACAGTACCCTAGGTAAAGTATACAAGAAGATTTATGAATGTGAACTTGGGAGGGAGGGTTGTAGAGAGTAAAAACAGTAAAATACTTGACATACAAGAGAGGGAACATATGCTGTACTGCACTTAGTCAGATATTTATTTAAAGTTACAGGTAAGATAATGCCATATGCTCAAACGTTTACTTGATGATGCCTATTACATTGATAAAATACATTGCCCTATAATCACACAGAATATCATCTAACTTCTTTTTTATAAAAAGGAATCATCTAACTATACTGCTACTGATAAAATTAAACAAATAATTGTCGCAAGACTCGACCCCACGTCTCCATTTCAATTCAGAAAATAAATTAAATTAAGTGAACCAGGCACCTGTTGTATCAGTTAGAATGCAGGATCAACTTCTTGGCAACTAGGCGGATCCCAGCGTTTTGTTGATAGTCATATGCATTGAAGGAGAAGTAAGCATCCACGCAAGTTCCCGGGGCGATTAAGGCGTCCAATGCTTCAGCATCAAATCTGTTCAAAGCAATCATTCGTGCACTTGAAGCTTCTTTCTTATATATATCCGTCACCAATTGCACGGCATCACCATTTACTACAGTGGGTAACCTGCAAATATATATACTTTTACACACTGGTCAATTTATGAGAGGCGACAAAAACACACCCCTGATAAGATAGACCATATAAGTTGCGACGCAGCATTATAAATAGCTTAAGGGCTTGTTCTTTAGGACTGGAAAAAAAGAGCTAGATGTTGGAAGAAACTGGAAGAAAATGGAAGGAACTGGAAGGAACTAGAAGAACTGGAAGAAACTGGAAGAAATTGGAAAAAATGAAAAAAATTAAAAGAAACTGAAAAAACTAGAAAAGTTAAGAGTTCAAGCTCTAAAGAACAGGCCCTAAATATGCGAATAAACTAGGGAAGTAACAAAGAAGCAACTAAAATCCAGCCCCCATGTCATTAGAGAACATCAAGAACAAGCAAAATAAAAGAAAGAGAGAAAGAGGGGGGGGGGGGTGGAGGAGCTTCATGTGTGGCTGCCAGCAAATGAAGAAAATAAGTTGGCATTGATCTCGTAGTCTCAAAGAGAGGTGAGAATTCCCTAATGTGTTGAGAAAATTCTCACAAAATCGAGAATATTAATGGTTATATTATTCAAAGGTTGTTGTACTTCAATTGAAATGATAGTGGAAAGTTTAATCCAAAAGGATCGTGGTCTTTTCCCTTAGTTGAGAGGGTTTTTTTCAACACAAAAAAATTAACGAATGAAAAAAATAGCCACTTACTGAAGACGAACAGTTGGGAATTTCATGAAATTAGGCTTTCTGGTGACTAGAGGCCTCCACTCAGAGCTGCTACGAGATTCCACAGTTAGACGGTGAGCATGATTATCAACTGTGTCCAGGATCTGACATAAGCATCCAGATGCATCTACTACAAAACTCAACCGTGGAAAATATTTGTTGCTAACACCAAAGCGCACTTTCAGACGCATGCAACAAATTTGTAACTCAGCATGATTATGCAATACCCTAATTTTTTGCATTCCACGATATGATGGGGCAAGAACTACAGATAAAGAAGGTATGGATATTTTATCTGGTTCTAGGAAGTTGGTGTAACTACCAGAACCCTCACTTTCAAATGCTGTAGAGGGCAATTGAGAAGGCAAACCAGACTCTTCTTCATCCATGTTATCAGACTCAAGAAATGTGTTCTCCAAATTAAGACTGAGTGGGCTCATGTTAAAAGGATCTGGCCTGGAAGGAATGGACTCAACACGATCTGAAAGCACTTCAATTCTGTCTGAAGTTGTAAAAGATGAGGTTGTATGGATTTCCATACTGCAATGTTCTGTTGGCGTTATCAGATTTTCTGTTGGCTGACTTGATGAGGGTGTATTTGCATTCAAGCCAGTAGTCCCTCCAGGAGAAAAATTTCCATTGATATGGCTTCTTTTCATAGAATTAGGTGAACCCCAACTATTTTCTGTAGAATTGTCGGAAAGGCTGGACTCCTGCTAATAAGACACATTTCAGGGATCCCGGAACTCATAATTGAAGGAATTGATGTTTCAAGTAAGCAATTTTTTTTATACCAAAAACAGAACAGTTGCACAACACTTAAGCACTTCAAAATTCATCCGAACATCCTCTAAGCTTCTGGGTTACAGATAGAGAAAATTCAGTATAAGCACACATTTACATGTTATGTAGAGCTCTTGCAATCAAAGAGGAACAGAAAAAGTAAATAAACATTACCAACAACAAAAACAAACCCACTATCATCCTAATTCCATTGGGGTTTGGGCGGGTCAAGATATATGCAACCTTACCCCTGTAAAAAAACAGAGAGGTATTGCCCAAAAGTTCATGGAAAGTAAGAAGCAAATGAAGTTTAATGTGGCATTTTGAGTTTGTCTATTATCTACCCAAAGATAAAATATTGTGGAAAATGACTCTTTTAGCTCTATTGCCAATGGACGCTTACATGAGCATAAATACACAAGTTTTGTTTAACTTCTATACTCATGACAGGCTACTACTAAATCGACATTCAAAGATTTTCTATATGCCATATAAGATTAACTAAATTAAAGAAGGGAAATCCATTGCACAGAACGAATTGAGGACACATGTAGATGTAAATAGAAAGGCAATATTAGAAAGTCAGAATATAAGTATGCCTCAATGATATGTTATAAGAAACTAAGGTGAGCTGTAACCATACATAGATGTACCACATTCAGTAGCAAGATAGAAAAGAAGTGTCACCTATGTGCTTGTTGTCCAAGGCCGAAGTAATTAGCTAGGGAGGCCATCTGCAATTGGGACGATGCTGAATCAGTATTTAAACAAGACGGAACCAAAGAGATTTATTCACTGATTGAAAAATAGAGTTATACAAACATCATCAAGCTAAAAATTTGAAAGAAATTTAAAGCTTGGCAAGAATATGCATGACAGTTTCAAGCAAATAATGAAATAATAACCAATAAAACTTGATGTTGAAAATAACTTACAATGTGGCTGTGCTATTTAAAGTATTTCTTAGTGCGGGAAAACACAAGAGTAAAAAGTGCTAAGAAAATATAAACCCGTTCATCTGACCATTACCAAAAGTATAGAATTTCACTAGAAGGAATGGATGATTAAGAGTATAACTAGGATTGTACTACATATGCAGCCACTGTTTTCATATATGTACCTAGATCAATCAATTATGGAGTTACGACTGTCTTCATCTAGGAAAGCCGAAAGAAAGTGTAAACTACAGATTAATTTATTTGCAGTTTGTATTGTCCCAATGGAGAAATTCTAATTTACCTTCATGTTACCCGCTCTCCTGCCAAAGCGCTGAGTCAACAACACAAGGGAGTCAATTGTTCCCTTAGGCTCTGGTGCGGGCCTATGTATAGCAGCAAATGCCTCCCGAATTCGTATACAGTCGAACTTCAAAATGTTATGACCCGCCCATATTCTCCCTATTCAAATTGCATGAGAACGGGAAAAAAGTACTAAACAATTCAAAATCTAAAAAAGAGAAACTAAAATATCTTGCGCCCATAATCATCCAAGAGACTTTGAAATCAAAACGGTTTCTGATTTGTGTAAAGATTCCCGTGAAAATATCTGGTGCCCATAATCATCCATGAGAACAGAAGATTAAAAAAAAGGTACTAAACAATTCAAAATCTAAAAAGATAAACTAGAATATCTGGTGCCCATAATCATCCAAGGGACTTTGATTTCAAAACGATTTCTGTTATGTGTATAGACTCCCATGAAAGATCCAAACCCATCACAGTTTCATTCGAATTTTGAAACTCAGATCAATTAATGTTCAAACCAATCAGGGATCGATTCAAATGCTTGTTAAAGAAGCAGATTATACAAGATCATACTTTCCAGTTTGAACCAACCAGCTTAAATCTAAGATTCACAACTATTAAGAAACGGCCAAATTGAGCGGGTTACCGTGGAGGAAGTGGTAGATTTTGTCGGCGACATCCTCAAAAGCAGGGGCGGAGACAACATCATCCTTGCCGATGCCATTACAGAGGACGGAGCGCGGGGTGATGAGTGAGAGATCGGCGGGTCGGATCAAGGTGGAGTAGCTTTCCAGCTCGATTAGCTTCCGGGGGCAAACCAGGATCCCCCCGAACTCCAGGAGCGCAAAGGCCTGCCCCGATCGGGCCGGGATCGTCGTCTCAACGTCGAAGAAGGCTATCTCTGGCTGAATCTGGCCCTCCATTCAAGGAATAGGACGAGAATGCAAATGGCGGGAAACGGAAGAAATGTTCTGGAACAGTGATGGCTGAGATATGATTATATGAACACTTTGCTTTTGTAGTGAGTTTAGGAGCAATGGAGCATGAGTAGGGGTTGAGCAAGAATAAAAACCACATGAGTTTGAATTAAAGGGTTTAGGTTTGGATTGCTTATTTGAGAGGAAAGGTTTTGGAATTTTATTTTTGAGCTGGCTGGTTGAGTTGACACCGGACAGCTTTTCTTTTTGCGCATTTACAATGTTTCTTTAAAAATGATAGTTCTTAAATAGATAATCATAATAGTATTATTACAACAGTCATTGACGGAATTGGGACTGCTTTCCGTACTAGGAGTAAAACCATTATGAAATTTCTATGTTGATACGGAGGCAAGTTCCGTAGAGACGATCAAATTCTATACTAACAAGACTCGGGCAACATAAAGTAACTTGTAAAAGTTATTCTTTATAGAGGGAGTTACACACGAGACTTCTTGAGAAAAACGTTTGTATAGCTTAAGATTGACAATTTTACCTACAAGGCTACAATCAACATCAATCGAGGTGGAAACTCTAAAGGTAGAGGAAGTTGTCAATGGAATAATATGGCAGTTTTCCTTATGAAGGTGGCGATGGATGGACAAAATTTAGAAGTTAAGGTCTTAAGGATATCAAAGATGGCATCGGATGGACAGAATTTAGAAGCTACGGATAATGAAGATGGCAATTATCTAAATGGTCAGTAAATTTCTGAATCTTAATATGATAGTAAGTTTAGCTTTGCTTGGCCTTTTTTCACTTGTAATGGTGTGTGTTTTGGGTTGAGTTCTTATTAATCTATGTGCATTGTGGGAGATATATACACAATTGTTTGTAAAAGCTCAAAATGGTCTTTGCAAAGTGAAATGTAGTGAGGTATAGAGACTCCAAACATGAAAATCTGAAACTACGAAAGACCCTCCAATACTTTTTGAAATTATCCGACGTTCTTAGCTTGAACAAGTTCTAGAACAGTAACTAAAGGAGAATTCACGTGAAGGGCCTCTTGATGTTTAAGTCTTTTTGCTTTTGGATCTATGGGTTTAAAAATAGAATTTCAATGTGGAAGCCGTTTATTATTTAAGAGGTTTGAGACCTCTCTATCATTGAGGCTTTAGTGATGTTTTAACATACAATCTTTTCTATGGAAATTAGTGGTGGGTGATATGCGCTTTAATTTAGTTCAGATATCTCATTCATGGTTTCAATATTTCTATGGAGTATTAGAACATTTTTAAAGTTGCTGTTAGGGTTTTCAACTTTTTGGGATGTTTTACCCTGTTAAGTTAATAGATTTTTATATTCACCTCGAGGGTGTACTTTCTTTTGGCATTTTGGAATAGACAAGAAACAAGATACCCAAAGCGAAATTACAACTAGGGATAGAATTGCGATGGAATAATCTGGAAGTTTTCCTTATGAAGGTGGCGATGGATGGACAAAATTTAGAAGTTAAGGTCTTAAGGATATCAAAGATGGCATTGGATGGACATAACTTAGAAGCTACGGATAATGAAGATGACAATTATCTAAATGGTCAGTAAATTTCTAAATCTTAATATGATAGCATGTTTAGCTTTGCTCGATCTTATTTCACTTGTAATGGTGTGTGTTTTGGGTCGAGTTCTTATTAATCTATATGAATGGTGGGAAATATATACACAATTGTTTGTAAAAGCTCAAAATGGTCTTTGCAAAGTAAGATGTAGTGAGGTATAGAGACTCCAAACATGAAAATCTGAAACTACGAAAGACCCTCCAATACTTTTCCAGATTACCCAATATTCTTGAACAAGTTTCAAAGCAGTAATTAAAGGAGAATTCAATGTACTCATAGGATTTCCTCTTGATGTTTATGTCTTTTTGCTTTTGGATCTATAGGTTTAAAAATAGAATTTCAATGTGGAAGCCTTTTATTATTTAAGAGCTTTGAGACCTCTCTATCATTGAGGCTTTGGTGAAGTTTTAAGATGCAGTCTTTTCTATGGAAATTAGTTTTGGGTGCTATGTGCTTTAATTCAGATATCTCATTCATGATTTCAAAAGTTCTATGGAGTGTTAGAACATTTTTAAGGTTGTTGCTGGGGTTTTCAACTTTTTGAGATGTTTTACCTTGCTAAGTTAAGAGATTTTTAATTTCAACTTGAGGGTGTACTTTCTTTTGGCATTCTGCAATAGACAAGAAACAATATACCGAGCACAGCGACATTACGACTAGGGATAGAATTGTAAACAATGACGAAAATTTTCATATCCAAAGTAATTCTTGTTGTTCTCTTTTACTTTTTCATTTAATAAAATTTCTTTTGTTTGTAAAAAAACATTATTATTTCATTATGAAACTCAAAATTTTATTATATGCTCATTTTTGCTTGAAATCCTGAGTTTACTTATTGCACTTGAAATTGCACTAATTAAAGCTAAATGATGCTAGTCATTAATTGTTTGCTAAATATATTAAAATACCAACAAAAATATGAGGTTATCTAAATTATTCATTTGTGGAGTAAATACTTGATCCTTTATAACATTGGGATTTTTCTATTTAGTCCTCTATTATCAAATATAACTCTGATGGTCCTTCTTTTATAGGTATATTTCCATAAATAATTCTTTTTTGATCTTCTATCATGTTGTTGTTAATTTGAGGTTTAAAAATGTAATTTCATAGTGATAATATATCTTTCTTGTCATGCATAATTTCAAACGTCACTTCTAATGCGTCGTTTGTGAATTACAGTCGCTTTCTATTACAACTATAGTTTACAGATATGGTCTTTTGTCAGAATCTTAACTCACAATCATAATCATTATTTTTGTCTTATTTGTCTAATCAATATCAGAATGCGTCACTGGACATAAGGTTAATGTCAAATTATAATTTTAGCCTTTGCATTAACACTAACATGACAGAAGATTAAAAAACGACCATTTGTTGAAAGACACCCATAAAAAAGGATTACGGAAGTAATATTTGATAATAGAGGACCAAATAAGGAAACCCCTCTTTTATAAAAGACCAATTGTAGAATTTACTCTTTGTTGTGTGTACCAAAATGTTTATTCAAAGTATTTCTCTCTCATTCCTAAATTAAATTTTCGCTTTTAGTTTACAATGTTTTAATGGAGTTATTTTTATTTTAATTTTCTTTAAACTAGGGTAAGATTAAAAAATAAAAAAAGAAATTATCCAAAATAAGAGTAAAAATAACCCTTATCTCCAAAATGCGAGAAATATATTTTTATCCCAGAATAAATTTTTACACTTTTTCTAATGTGTTACTGTAAATTATCATTCCATAGTATTTTTTGCTATTATATATTTATATTATTGGCATTGTTAGTCTTATTTTGTGGATGAAAACATGAATGATTTATTTTTGTTTTCTCTTTGTTTATTCTTACCTCACTCTTTCTTTCAAAAAAAATTTTAAAAAATCACATCAAAATTTTTACGAAAAAAGAAGTGACATGTTTATTATTACCAAATGAGTAACAAAAATAGATATAAAAAAATAAATTAAATTGACCATGTGAATAGTAAATAAATAATTTAATTTAGGATGAATAAAATATTTATCTTAAAAATTCAGTTTTCTTTCTTGCATAAATTTTTCTTTTACTTCAATTATTTATATCATAAAAGTTACTCCGTAATAATTGTTTCTGTTTTTAGAAATTAGAAAGATGAGTATTGCTTATATGCTCCCAACATCGACTTTTAACCTTCTCACATTTTTTTACGAGCTTGCATATAAATATTTTAAAAAAAAAACAAACTTTGTTATGATATAAATACACAAAGATCCATAAAATAAGCATAAATTTTAAATCCACGAAAATGGAATAATGTGCCTACAAGAAGGCCAAAAATAAGGATTAAACGGGTGAAAAAAAGGAGAAGGACCAAACTAGGAGTAAAAGTTATCATATATATTCTCAAATAGAAGCTAAAACTTAAACTCATCTAAATAGGAGTAATTAATTAATTTTTGTCCTCAATTCTCTCTTCTCACGCTCTCTTCTCCCTTCCTTTGTTTTTTTTCTTTTCTTGCATGCGTGTGTATTTACACACTTAAGGGGGGCTGGGTCTTGGCATTGAGTTATGGGTAGGAAATTGATTATTTATTATTACTATTATATTATAAAATCTTTATATTTATTTATTGAATTATAACATCTATTTTGCTTATAACTTTTTACACCAAAGTCTAAACTTAACAAACTTTATGCTATTAGTCACCTTTTTACGAGATCAACTCAATTATCTATTTTTCGAATTAAAAGGTTGGCTTTACAAATACTTTATATTTTCGAGTCAGAAAATAAAATAGGAGATTATATTTATTTTTTATCAAAATAACGACAAACTATTAAGCCGGCTAATTTTTTTACCCAAAGTTAAAATATTGTCAATAAATGATTCTTTTAACTATATCGTCAATATTGTCAATAAATGATTCTTACCCAAAGCTCAGTACCATAGACGAATACAGCTATTTCTACCTTGCTCATGAATATTTATATGTGTATCCTAATTCACAACTCAAGTATTCTGATTTGATGATTTGACATTCTTAGGAAGAGAAATTTTTTTGATAAACATCACCTTTAAGTGTTGCCTCAGGCCCATCGAGTGTCAAACAAGACCACACTTAATGCCAAAATTCTGAATCAATAAATTTATGAGACCTGATTAATACCTTGTAGATATGTGTCAAAATTCTTAAGCAATAAATAGAAACTCAGTAAATTACTACAGTAAAATGTCTATACAGTGTCAAACAAGGCTACATTTAACGCCACATTTAACCGCATAATGACAATCATGTCATTGTATAAAGTCATACATGCAAATGCATAATGCTAAACCAAGTGATAATACTAAATATGACAATATATACTGCCACACTTGGCAATGTATAATGACAGATATGTCAAAGTATAATTTTATATATAACACATATGTTAATGCATAATCTCAAAAAAGTTAAACATCAAGAAACTTTATTTGCCAACACAATAATCATTTAGTTTCAAAATATCTTTTACAAAATAATTTTCTAAGAAGTAAAATTAGATTTAAAATCAAATGTCACAACCTATGTGAAATTGAATATAAAATTGATTAAAAGTTTCAAACTCACGCAATGCTAAAAGTTTTGGTACCAATTTTACAAAATAATTCCCGAAAAAGTAAAGTTTTAGATTTAAAATTGAAATTAACTACTTATGTCAAATTAAATATCAAATTGAATTCAAACTTACCCAAGGGGACGGAGGTATCCGAGCAATGAAAAATAGAAATGGTGGAGAGGGGTGGAAGGAGATTGTGTGTATGAGAGAAAAGGAGATGATGGAGAGAGCGGTGAAATCATTGCCGCATAGAGGAGATGGTAGCGGCGGAGAAGGGATTGAGATTAGGTTGACAGCGTCAGCAACTGAGATTAGAACGAAGGAGATCGTAGAAGGATGTGATTGGAAAGGGACCGGGTGACTTTTTTGACCGCATAGGGCTGAGATGTGGTGTGGTTAATGCGGAAGAGTAAATCAAAACAAAATTTAATTAATTATTCCTATTTAGAGGAGTTTAAGTTTGAACTCCTATTTTGACGATATGATATATGTTTTACTCCTATTTAGGGGGTTTTCTTGTGAAAAAAACAACGAAATTAAGCTATGTGTACCCCAACATTTATACCCTAATTTGTACTCCGCAGGTTTGCACCAACATTTTGTTTTGGTGTAAAACTAATTTTTGTTAATGCACCAACACTTTGTGTCTGTGTGAATTTTTTTTAACGCACCAATACTTGTGTCTGTGTAAACAATCAAAATGTTTGTGCATAAGTGTGGTGTACAAATGGTGTACTTGTGTAAGTGTAGCATGATCCAAACCCTAATCGTACATCGTTGCTTCCGCCTTCCGGGACAGCTCAGTTTCTCGTGGAATCCATCCATGGCTATGGCTGCTGCTGCTAGAGCCGAAACTCGGCCACCTTCTAAAGACGACGAAGAGACGTCTACCGAAGAACCAGAAGAAGAGGATGTCGATTCGGAGTCGGAAGGAGATCAAGAAAAACCCGACACCCAATCATCTCAGAAATCTCAATTCTCTTTCGAGTCCTCCGAATCGGAATCCGACTCGAAATCGGCCAACGGTTCCGCCATAAAACCCATTCTCAAGCCAACTCCTCTGTTCCCAAAGTCGCCTGAATCGTATTCAAAGTCATCTTCAAAGCGCCCGAAGAGTAAATCTGTGACAGAGGGGGAGAAAAAGTCTGGGGGCCGTCTCTGGACTGATGAAGATCAGGTTTCCCTCCTTCGAGGTATGATTCAATTCAAATCCGAAAAAGGGGCCGATCCTCTTGCAAAAATGGCTGATTTTTATGAATTTCTCAAGGATAGATTAGATTTCGCGTTTTCAAAGTCCCAGGTGCAAGAAAAAATTAGGAGGCTTAAGAAGAAGTTTATGAAAAAAGGGGAAACCTCTACTTCCAATCCTGCTGATTCTCAGATCTTTCAACTTTCACAAAAATTTTGGGGTTCTGAAAGTGGAAGTGGTAAAAATTTGGATGCATCTAGTGGAAAGGGGAAAATGCTGGCAGAGGTTAAAAACCCTAGTGATTCTAAAAAGATTGTTGAGAGTAGTAATGCAGTGGAAAAGAGCAAAGAGAAAAAGAAGAAAGCACCCAAAGACGAAGAAATCGGGGCGAGGAAAAAGATGAAGAAGGAGATTACAGTTGTTGAAAAAGACGAACGGACTACTTCAAAGGGAAAAGATGACCAAACCATTGCTGAGAGAGTAGGTGTTCAGGCCATTGCTGATGAGGGAAAAAATGACCCGTCAGTTGGTAGGGGAAACGGTAAACAGATTGCTATGAATGGTGTAGTCCAAGTTGAAATGGGGAAGAGGGAGAAGGATTTCCGGTCCAAATACCCTCATTTCCTCAACTCATTCAGTGTGAAATACTATCCGTTGACACCTGAGGAGACACTGGGTAAATGGAAGGAAAATGCTATTCTGCTTGATTGTTCTGTGGCGGAGAAGGTCGAGAAGAAATGGGACAATGTGTGGGAAGAATACGGTAAACTTGGTCGGATGGTTGCAGATTTGGTATCACTCCAAGCTAGGATGATGCACGATGAAGAGGTAACTTTGTAGATGAAAATTCGAAGCATTTTGAAATTAATCGGTGTCGTGGGTAGTTTACATGCTGTTTTTTAAAAAATTTCCTGATATAGACCTCTTGTTACACCTATCATTTTGAAATCAACCTTGTTTTTTAAATTTTTTATCTCAGTCCTTTGTATAAGGTGCTTGTGTTTCATTATCGCTTCTTTAAAATTTTTACGGCATTTTGAATATTTCAAGTTCTGTGTTCCATGTGACAATTGAATTAAAAACTAATCTGTGTTTCATATTCAGCTTGAGAAATGGCATTTACTGCATAACTCAACTCTTCACCAAATTGATTTTGTCTAATTTACTTATACTCGCGTGTTTTGTTTTTACTGATATATTTTGCGTCTTGTTTGGATTTAATTTTTTAGGTCTCATATCTATCTTTATCATGTATTTGTTGTAATTGTTGTTTGAAAAATTTCCCAGCATTTTTAGGCTATCAAAGTAAGTCTTCCATCTCAGGATAGGGGAGAAAAAAAGTACTTTCAGCATAAGAAATGCTTGTTATCTGGATATTATTAGATAAAAATCTCAGCATAAGTGATTTTATTTAACTTATTTATGTAACTGCCTTATGTTTATTTGTTTTGTTGTAACTTAATGAACCCAAAAAAGTTGTGAAATTTCTCACATGGAGCAACTACAATCTGGTTAATGCACACCATTGCATGTAATTGTTCATCTGCTATCAATGTCTACTTAAGTTGTACTATGTGTTAAAGTAATGACGAATGTAGTAATATACTTCTTCCATCCTGATTTAAATTGGCTGTTTTGATTGACGTTATTTAAAATCATTTTATATGAAAAAACGGCATAGAATTAAAAAATAAAAATTACATATTTAAAAACTACATCAAAAGATTTACAAAACTAGTGGTGACATGACTATATTATTTTATCAGATAACTAATAAAAATAAGGAAACATAGTAAATGAAGTTTAACTCTGTGAATGGTAACAAACAATTTAATTTGGGACGGAGGAAGTAGTAATTTGTTTCTTCTTTTTATCATCCCTCCCTCATCTCACTCCCTTGTTTCTATTCCTAACACCATGTTTGGTTCATGGTTGTTAAGTCGACAAGTCGAGTCGAGTCGGTGACAGGGAGACTAGTGGACTAGGCGACCAGTCGTAGACTAGGCGAAAAATTACAATTACTCCCTCCGTCTCAAATTATAATGTCTGTTTACTATTTACAAAGTCAAATTTTATTCACTTTCTTTCTCTATTTTCGTTAGCAATTTGATAAAATAAAATATTCTTGTCACTATTAGTTTTGTAGATCTTTTGATGTAGTTTTTTAATATGTAATTTTTATTTTTTAATTCTATACCATTTGTTATATAAAATGGTTTGAAAATAATTTCAGTCAAACATCGTAAACCGAAACAAGCATTATAAAATGGGACGGAGGTAGAAGTATTAAAGTTTTTAACATTATATATATTTATATTAACCCAACATGAATATATGTGTGTGTGTGTGTGTGTGTGTCAAAACACCATAACCAAAGCAAACTTATGTTTAAAGATAGCACATAAAGTCACTTAAAAAAGAGTACATAACAAACAAATATCCTTCGATCTTTAAAAATAACACACCCAAGAAAGATAATTAACCAAATAAGAAGTCAAAGGACATATTAAAATAGTTAATTCTATGTTTTGAGTTATCAAAAAACTGAAATAAAAAAAATTGAAATATTAAACTGAAAAAACTGAAATACTAAAATACTAGAATAAGAAAAAAAATTAAAATATTAACTGAAATCAGAAAAAAATTGAAATATTAAAAAAATAGAAGAAAACTGAAAATTTTAAAGTATATACTTTATAGTTTAATGAACCAAATCAATGAAAATTAAATCAAATAGAGTATACTTTAATGATGACAAAGTAAAAGAAATCTTACCCATGGAGGAGAGTCGCTGCTGGAGGCTGATGGAGGAGAATCCATGGAGGAGAGTCGCTGGCGGGAAGTCGCGGAAGTCACCCTGGAAAGGGAAGCCAAGAGTCGCGAACCTCCAGACTACCGATTGGGTTGGGTTGGGTCGGGTCGGGTCAATTGATTTAGGTCGAAATCGGCCATTTTTTTCACCGATTAGGCGTCGCCTAATCGCGGCTATGCGTCGCTAAGCGCGCTTAATCGCCTAGTCGGCCATAGGCACTAGTCGTACAACAAATCTCCATGGCAAAACCGCTCGGACGACTAGTCGGCGAGTAGTCGTGGCCTAGGCGACGACTTGACAACCATGCTTTGGTTCAAGGAATTTGGATTCTATTCCTAACACCATGTTTGGTTCAAAGAATCTGGAATAAACAGAAAAAGAAATATGGAGTAATTTTCTTTCATTTTTCTCACCAAACTAGATAAACTTGATTTTTCCTCTTAATATATTTTACTTTCTAACAAATAAGAAAACTTGTTTTGTCTCTCTTTTTCTTTTCTTTTTTCTTTTAAATTCTTTGAACTAAAGAATGTAGAATTTTGGTCCATTCTAATTATTTACTACGTCTGTTTTCCATAGATCTTTTCAGGTACTATTTATAAGGTTAAATTCAACTCACTTTGTTTTTTTTACTTCTCATTTCATAAAAGTGAAATTACCCTAAATAGGAGTAAAACATAGAAAAAATATCAAAATAGTAGTTTCATGTTTTTATTCTTTAAATAGAAGTTTACACTGTGGTAAAATGACACTGTACGTGTAGATTCCACCATACCTTTTGGTAATGTACATGGTCACAATTGGATATGTAAATGCATTTTAATTTTTATTTCAGAAATAAAAATATAGAACTCCTATTTTGGTATATTTTCAATGGTTACTCTTATTTTAGTTTTTTTACCTTCATAAAATAATTCCCTCTGTTCTCCATAAAGCTTTTCATTAGCTCTTTCTATTTGTCCCTCATAGATTTTTTCATTATTTTTTTAACATTTTAAATACTATAACTGCTCCCACTTACTTTATTTATTGCATCAATAACCTCATTTAATACAGTTTACCCATAATATAAAGGGTATTTTTTTAAATTTTTACTTTTTTCAACTCTACTTAAAAACCACAAAAAGTTAAAACGAGAAGATTTTAGAGGGAAGGAGAGAGTAGTGACAATTCTTGTTTTGTAGTTTCCCTGTCACAATTTAAATTGTATTTTCACAATTTATAGAGTCAAATTTCATTCACTTTTTTTTCCCATTTTTGTTAGTAATATGATAAAATAATATAGTCATGTTACTACTAGTTTTATAGATCTTTTGATCTAGTTTTTAAATATGTAATTTTTATTTTTCAATTCTACACCATTTTTCATATAAAATGATTTGAAAATGATTTCAGTCAAATATCGTAAATCGAAACAGGTAATATAAATTGGGACGAATGGAGTACATTAGAACTTTTCATCCAACTTTTACTATATAACTTTTTTTAAAAAATTTTATATCTATAATCAAATAAACTAAATTAAAAATAAATTCAGTCGGGTCTCGTAAAGCAACAATACATGCATTAATCATTCAAAATAGGCAACACAAAATTAGGTGGAATAATATCGTATGTACTTGGTTGAGGCTCACACAAGCCAAAGTATGGGCCATTCTATTAAACTTCCTAAAATATTGAACTAGAACCGATAAAAAATGATTTGATCTATTTTTAATTGAAATCTAACTTGAAAAACACTTGATTTTGAGTAAAGACTTTGTTGACTGAACCTAAAATGATTCGCTAAAAATGGTCAAATCTCACCGAACCGAATCTGACCTGACCGACTAGCTAGTATAAGAGTTTTTCAAAATTATATAAATTAAGATGAAATATAATGTTATAAATATAAGATTATAATAATATTTCTTTTTTTCTATTCATTTTAATGTATAAATTTATATTTTATATAAACTTTTGATGATTTCGTATAGTTATCTTTTCTCCAAAACTTCTACATATTTAATTTTTTATTTGTAATATTAAAAATTACTTAAAATTTCAAAAAAGAAGAAGTCATAACCTGTTGGGTCGACTTGAATCTGATGACACTTGATCATGAACATGCATTTTACAACCCACATCCGAACTTACCTGAACTCGAAGTAACCCGAATCTGAAGTGAGCCACTCCAATGTCACTGGCCATGGGGTTGGCGTGGTCCAATCAATTCCAAGGCTGCTCTCCTAAAGGAATACAAAGTGAAGTGTCTTTTTCTTTAGCAACCTTGTTGATAATTCCTTTCTGAGTTGTGTACTCACCTGAAATGTTTTTTTGGCATATGGTAGGATTGATTCTACAATTATTTGGCTTTGCGAGTTTGATAGCCTTGTGCTGCATGACTTGCGTTCTCTTCGCAGGTCCTCATCTCTGCCTGGGCGAAGGACAATGGTAGCAACAGAGAGGGTGGCAGCAATAGCACGGATAGTTGCAGCAATATTGATGGTGGAACTGATACGGTATCGTATCGGGATAGGGAAGAACTTCGAGCGTTCTTCAATCTCCAAGAGAAAAAGAGAAGAGAAGAGGGAGAGAACCGTGAATCTTTGTTCGACGGAATAGAAGAACGAGAGGGAAGAGGAAGAGACTAGGGTTTAGGGAAAATGATTTCTTTATTGCTTTAATTCTAAAGCAATACATCTCAATATATAGAGTGAAACTCTAAAAGCCTAAGGGAGTCCAATCTCTAAAAGGAAACTAAATAAAATAAAAAACTAATTAATAACCTAACAAAAATAATATTCTCTAATAATAATTAACTAACCATGTATAATACCTTACCTATAATAATAATAATAATAATAATAATAATAATAATAATAATAATAATAATAATTATCCCGTAAACTCTCCTCGCCTCGAAAACCAACTTGTCCTCAAGTTGGACATCTAGAAAAAACGAGGAATCCTGCGTTGTGAACGGACATCCTCCGGGGTCAAAGACCTTTATGAATGGAGCATCAAAAGATTCGGCCCAGCTCAAAGCATTCACAACTCCTAGCAAACAACTCCAGAGAACCAATGAGAAGAAAATTCTGCCCGCACGCGTGACATCCCTAGAATCATAAAGGACAATAACGTCAGTTTCTGACATCCCAAATGTTTCCGTGCATCCATAAAAAATAATACCATCGCTTGAATATTTTGCTTGGATAGTGTGGTCTCTTTGATCGTCACCAGAAACATCAACAACAACATTAACAACGGCAACAGGAACAACATCTATGGGATCTATCATAAGATCATCATCAGGAACACCAACAGGATCAATAAAAATTTCCTTTTTAAATTCTTGGTTCTGCAAAGTTGTGTTTTGCACAGGTACAGGAAGGGCCGAATCTCGTGGAGTGCCGATGAGTTTCTTAATAAAGCACATCATGGTTGTTTTCAAAATGTATAACTCTATAGGAATCAGGCTTGGCATAATTGGGAGACCACGAACTAAATCTTGTATTGAGCAAAAAGGCCTCTACGGAGAACGCATATACCTCGGAATCAAATTTTGGTTGACCTTCAATTGGATGGAATGCCTGAAGTTTCTTTATAATTTCATCCACGGAATCTTCAACTGCACACACGCCTTCATAAAATTCAATTTGTCCCCGTAGAACTTTCTCGAGTAAACCAAGAACTTT